CCCCCTGGACAGGGGAGGGGAGGGGGGTAGGAGCTTCCTATCTTAGATAATCAGGCCAAGGAATGGGGCTGGAAGGAACTGTGGAGGGAAGGTCTAGGGTCCAGCTGAAGCAATATTGGTCTAAAATCTGTACAGATCTGCTCCACCCGGCTTCCCTGGGCCTCTTCCACAGCTGGAAAGACTGGGAGACTGAAAACCTGGTTAGGACCACATCTGGAAAAGAGCCTTCTGTTCTGGACCCACATTCAGGAAGGGGATTCAGAAACCACAGCACGTCTCAAGGAGGGTGAGCAGACCAGAGACTTCACTACACACGGATTGGGGAAAGAAAAAACCTGCACGATACTTTATCTGGAGAAGAGAAGATGTATGGGGTGTCTCATCTGTGTCTTCAAAAATTTGAACAGCTGTGATGTTGTTGGTGTTCAGTCTTGTTCAACCCTTTGTGACCCCATTTGGGGTTTTCTTGGCAGAGATACTGGGGTAGTTTGTCATTTCCTTCTGCTCATTTTGCAGATAAGGAAACTGAGGGAAATGGGGCTAAGTGACTTGCCCAGGGTCACACAGCTAATAAGTGTCTGAGGCCAGATTTGAACTCAAGAAGACCAGTCTTCCTAACTCCAGACCCAGGGCTCTAACCACTGCACCACCGAGCTGCCCACACGTTTATATAACACCTACTATGTGCCAGGCACTACGGTAAGCACTTTACAAATATTATCTCATTTGCTCCTCATACAACCCTGGGAGGTAGGTGCCACTATTATCCCCATTTTTCTCATCCATCATCTCATTTGATTTTCACACCAACTCTGTGGCAGGTCAAAGATTATTCCTCACTATTCAGGAGCCTGAGGTAGGGTGGAGATCCCTTCAGCTCCAGGTCACCATCCTTGTTCTTGTGTGTTTCTAACATTGCTATCAACAGAAGGGCTGGTCTTACTGCTCCCATTTGACAGATGAGGAAACTGAGACTTGGCCAAGATCACACAGTGCTAGGTTGGAACCCAGGTCTCCATTCTTCTATTCTACTCATTTTTTCACAGAACTTACACTCTACTGCCTCCCACCCTGGAGTTGTTTCGCTTCCAAACTCTCTGGCCAGGGGAGGAGATGCCTTCCAAGCTGTCATAGAGACCCATCCATCCCCACAGAAGCCTGGGGGATGCCAGGCAATAATTAGAAGCAAAGAAGAGGAGGACAGTGCAAGGAAAGGTTGCTCCTGGTTTTTTTTCCTCTCCCCCCCTCTGCTCCATGTCTCCCCCTTCTTCCCCTTTCTCTTCTTCCCTCTCCAAACAACGAAGAAAAATAGACTGGTGGGTGATAGCGACTATCTCGGATAACGCCACGATTCCTTCCTCAGTTCTCTGGGCAGAGATAGGAAGAGAGGCAAGCAGCAGGAGCAGAGCTGGGAATCATCAACCCAGCTCGATAAGGGGGCCGCTGAAATGTTAGCAAAAATATTTAGACAATAAATGAAGTATCAGAAAGCAGCATAGATCTTTAAGAAATCAATCATCTTGTACTGTGTGTCTGGACACCCGGCGCCGAAGCCCAGATAGCCGCCAAACTGGGGAGATAAGGGTTAATCAAGGATTTAATTCTGCACAAGATAAAAAGGAGTTCAGCCTTAAAAAGGGAGAGAAAGAAAAAGAGGCAAGACTCCCCTTTCCTTCCCACCCCCATTTGCCAAAGCTTTGGGATGACTTTTCTCCCTATCACTCCCTGGGCCCCCCACTCCCTCCACCCTCCCAGATATCTCACCGGGTTGGCAAGTGTTTCTAATGACCTACTAATTCTCCCAGGACTGTCCTCCACCCACAGTCTCAAGAGCAAAGGCCTTCAGGAGGAGGGACAGAAAGAAAGACAAATCACGGCATGTCAGAGCTCTCCCCTGGAATATAGGATGTCAGAGCTTGGGAGGGTCATTACAGATCATCTGCTCCAACTTCCTCACTTAATGGATGAGGGAATGGAGGCCCAGAGAGGCTAATGGGGAGGAGAAGCAGGCGGGGGTTGGTTCGGGCAGGAATCAAGTCAAGTTAATAAGTAAACAAGAATGTATTAAGTGCCTTGTTCTAATAGCTGCAGATATGAAGACGGACCCTCCAAGAGCTCATACTCTAATGGGGGGAGACAATATGCAAACAATGATATACATACAAGACACACACAGTATAAATGGGACTATAAATGGTAGTTATGAAGGGGAGGCATTGGAAGGGGGTTGGTGGGGAGAAGGAAGTAAGGGAGAGCAGAAAGTAGGATTTGAGTTGACTTGAAGGAAGCCAGGAAAACTAGGTAGTGAAGGAGATTGTAAGCTCCTCAAGGGCAGGGACTGTCTTTTGCTTCTTTTTGTATCCCCATTGCTTAGCATGGTGCCTGGCACACAGAAGGTGCCTAATAAATGTTTATTAGCTGACTGACTGTATGACCTTTTGACCTGTAGTTGAGTGAGAATATATCTGCTAGCTTCTCCCAAACTGACACCGGACAAGTCACTTAACCTTCTTTGCCTCAGTTTCCTCATCTGCAAAATGAGCTGGAGAAGGAAATAGCAAACCACTCCAGTATCTTTGCCAAGAAAACCCCAAATGGGGTCATGAAAAGTCAGACAAGACTGAAAAATGACTGAATTGAACTGAACTGATGATGACGAAAGCTAGCATTTCTATGGTGCCTGCTATGCTCTAGGCACTGTGCTAAGCACTTTACAAATGCTATCTCATTTGAACCTCACAACAAGCCTGGGAGGTAGGTGCCATTGTTATCCCCATTTTACAGTTGAGAAAACTGAGGCAAACAGAGGTTAAGTGTGTAAGGCCATATTTGAACTCAGGTCTTCCTGAATCCATATCTAGTGTTCTGTCCTCATGGTGACCCAAGAAGAAACCGATGCGGATATACAGGGAGGTCACCCACCAACTTAGATGTTCAAAAGAAATGTACAAAAGTTGGAAACAAGGGAGAGGTAAAAGAATACAAACATTAAAGCATGGCACGATCCTGGAAAAAGTGTCAGAAATTCCAAAGTTCAGAGTGAGCCCAGGCTAGCGAGGAAAGCTAAGAACCACAAAAAGGGTTGGGATTTTTTTATATGCTTATTTTTTTTGTTTTGTTTTTAACAAAAAAGAGTATCAAACAAGGGCTGGCATGTTTTCACTTGGGGTGCACAACCCAGACAAGTCAGAGCTGTTATTATGCTTCTGTTTTCCCTGCCAAGGACAATGACCTTCACACTGGAAATGATAGAACAAAATTGACTGACAGAGAGTTGATGCACAGGATAAGTAAGGAGATTGTTAGAGATCACCCAGCTGGATGAATTCAAGTCACCTGACCCAGATGAACTACCTCTTCAAGGCCTGAAAGAACTGGCAAATATGACTACCACGCCACTGGCAGTACAACCTGAAAGATCATGGAAAAAAACAGGAGAGGTGACACAAAGTTGGAGAAGGGCAAATGATCTGATCTTCCAAAACACAAAAGAAGAGAACCAAGTCTACAAATTCTAGGCCAGTGAGCTGAACTTTGATTCCTAAGAGAGTCCTAGAAGGGATCATTAAAGGGATGGTCGGTGAATATCTAGAAAGGGAAACAACGATGACAAAGAGCCAGCTTGGCTTCATCTAGGCTAAGTCACGCCACATAACCTTAATCCTCTGAACAGGATTACGAAGTGATCAGAATCAGGGAGTGCTGTGAACGCAACTTGCCCAGATGTCTACAAAGCTTTTGATAAAGTATCTGAAACTATTCTTGTGGAGAAGATGGAGAGATAGAGATTGGAGGATAACACAATCAGATGGATTCAGACCAAGCTGGATGGCCAGACTGAAAGAAGAGTTGTTAATGATTCAGTGCCAATGTGGCACAGAGTCACCAGGGAAGGACCCCAGGTATCTGTGCTTGGATCTGTGCTGTTTCACACTTTTATCAATGAAGTGGATAAAGGCATAGATGGTATGCTCATCCACCTAACAGTTGATTCCAAGCTGGGAGTGGGGGGAAGAGCTAATGAGAATGGATGACAGAGTCAGGATCAAAATGGAGTTTGGTAGGCTAGAGCACTGAGTTGTTTTTTCAGTCATATTCAACTCTCTATGACCCCATTTGGGGTTTTCTCAGCAGAGATACTAGAGTGATTTGCCATTTCTTTCTCCAGCTCATTTGACAGATGAGGAAACTGAGGCAAACAGGGTTTAGTGACGTGCCCAGGGTCACACAGCCAGTGTCTGAGGCTACGTGAGTCTTCCTAACTCCAGGCCTAGTGCTCGATCCACTGCATGTCCTGGATGCCCCAGCTCTAGGAAGACGGTCCTATAATCTGGGACGCATCTATCACCTAGTAATTTATCTATGTGCCTTCCTTAAACCTCATTCAATTTTCTGCCTGTACCACCTAACAGGAACAAGAGGTCCTCCAAGCTTTCTCCTCTCTATGAAAAGAGGTCGCACAATGAGTTATTTTAAGTTTGGGGCGAGGAGGAGCATGGCATAATTCTAGAATCCTGGGATTCGGTGACCAGATCTGTGCTCTCCAGGCCTCCCCTCAGGGACAATCCTACTCATGCTTTCCAAATCTTAAAGGGCCATACAAACATGAGCTATAATTAACACAAAGGAGAATGAAATTACTGGCATGGTCTTGTCACAAGCAAGGGAGACATTTTCAAAGGGGACTTAATTTGGATCATATATTTAAACAGGGTGACCAGCCAACAAATACCCAATGCATGCTGACAAGGTAGAAAGCCCTGGACTGGAAATCAGGGGACTGGCTTTCGATCTTGGCTCTGCCATTTCACTTGGTGTATGACTCTGGGAAAGACAGTTCCCCTTTTTGGGTCTCATTTTAAAAATGTACTTTACTCATTTGCTCAGGGATTGAAATGTAGGGTTCTTCTGCAATTGCCAAGGGCCACATAGGGTCAACTGCCATCGGGGCTGGAGCCAAGGCAGCAGGAAACAGGGGGAAGAAAGCTCGAGATCCTTACCGTCTCTGTTTGCCCTTCACTCTGGATGTTTCCACTGAATGGACCCCAGGAAATTCCCTCAGGGAGACTCCTCTTGGCACGAACTTTGCTTTCCCCATCCTGTGAGATTAACTCCAATTCATCTAGATTAAAAAAAGACAAAAGAATGATAAGAAAAGAACAAGACAGCTATTTGGCTCTACCTGTCCATGGACTATGGCAGGAGACAGGCATTCTAAACACCTTGGGCCCTCTTCCCAGGTGTGGTACATCACAATCTCTCCCTGTCCCCGGGTAATCAGTCAATCAAACATTTATCAAACACCCAGTACATTCCATGCACTATACTAAGTGCATGGAATACCGAAAAAAGGCAAAAGACAGTCCCTGCTCTCAAAGTCTAATGGGAAAGACAACATGGAAACATGCGATATGTAGGATAAATTGGAGATAATTAACAAAGGGAAGAAGCCAGAATTAAGGGGGATGGGAAAAGCTTCCCGTAGGAGGTGAGATCTTAGCTGAGACTTGAAGGAGGGCTGAGAAGCCAGAACGTAGAGATGAGGAGGGAGATCGTTCCAAGCTTGGCAGAGCCGATGAAAATGCCCAGAGCTGGGAGATGGAAGTGTTTGTTCTTATCCATGTAATGGAAACATAGCCAGACAACACAGCTCATGCCAACAGCGTCCCCACTGAGGATGGCCCTCCCAATGACAAGGAGGCCAATGGCATCACATAAGTGGGATGGAGAATTAAAGGGGGGTGGGGGGGAAGGTAGGGAGGACAGGTTCTAAAGGGCTTTGAATGCCAATGAGAGGATTTTATATTTGATCCCCGAGAAGATAAAGAGCCACTGGTGTTTATTCATTTACTGAGTAGGGGGTTGACATGGTCACATCTGCACATTAGGAGATCAGTTTGACAGCTAAGTACAGGATGGATTGGAGTGGGGAGGGATAAAAGGCAAGCAAACCCCCTTGCAGGCTATTGGAATAGTCCAGGCATGAGGGGAAGAGGGCCTGTAAGAGGGTGGTGGCAGTGTCAGAGGAGAGAAGGGCACCCATTCAGGCCTTGGTAACAGAGATTGGATAGGAGGGGTGAGAGATAGTGAGGAGTTGAGGACAAACCCCATGTTGCCATCCCAAAGGACTGTGAAACCTGGCAAAAGGAACATCGAGGGTAGCCTTGACTTGTGCCCAAATGGCGGAGATACCAGGAATGGCCCCAGAGAGCTAGGTGCTCCATTATTATTATATCCCCCAACTAGACTAGAAGCTTCCTGAGGGCAGGAACTGCATCTCTTTGAAGCACTTAACACAGTACTATGACCATGGCAAGAGCTTTAAAAATGGCTGTTGTACGGATAAAGGGAGAAAGGGGAGACACATTGCAAACCCAAAGAGGGTATGCTAAAGTGATAGGCAAGGCGAGAATAATTCCACCTCACATCCCTAAAGAACATCACCACTCAAAAAGTGCTTTCACAGACACAATCTTCTTGATCAAGGCATCCCTGTGAGGTGCACCAGCTGCCATTACTATTTGCACTTTACTGATGAAGGACCTGAGTCTCAGGGAAGAGGGAAGTTAATTGTCTCGCTCAGAGGAACGTGACTGGTAAACAGCAGAATGAGAACCAGAGTCAGAGATTTAGGGTTGAGAGGGACTTTAGAGATTCTCGGATTCAACCCCCTCCTTTTACACATGAGGGCCCAGAGAGGAGAAATGAGTTCCTGCAATGTCACACCTACAGTAAGTAGCAGAGTGAGGATTCAAACCCAGGTCTTCAGACTCCAAGAGCCCAGTGCTGTTTCTAGCACATTACAAACCTAGCATCAGGCCTGCCTTTGGGTGGCACACTCACCCTGCAAACTGATGCCAACGTAACTGGGAATGAGTGTCCCGATTTGGGGTCCCTGACCCAGGGATGGGAGCTGGGGTGACAACCCAAGAGTTATATTGGTGTACTGGGGTCCGAGGCTGACCGGGCAGAAAGAGGAAGATGTCAAGGTACAGTGGAAAGAGTATGGAGTCAGTCAGTCAACATGCATTTATTAAGCACCTATTATGTACCAGGCACTGTGCTAAGCACTGGGGATACAAAGACAGCCCTGTTCTCAGAGAGCTCATAGGCTAAGGCAGAAAACAACGTGCAAATAACTTGGTACATACATGCTAACTGTGTAAATGGAAAGAAATCTTTGGGGAAGGCATTGTGGCAGTGGGGGTGGTGGTAAAGAAGACCTCTTGCAGAGGGTGGGATTTGAGCTGAGTGTTGAGGGAAGCCAGGAAACAGAGGTGAGAAGGAAGGGCATGCCAGGTGTGGGGCATAGCCAGTGCAAAGTTGAGGAGTTGGGAGATGACGTTTTATCTATGAGGAACAGTTAATTGCCTGTCATTGCTGGATCATTGAGTACCTGGAAGGGAATAGAAAGAAAGAATATTGGAAAGGTAGGAAGGGACCAGGCTTTAAATGCTCAACAGAGCATTTTCTACTCGATCCCAGAGTTATAGGGAGCCATTGGGAGTTTATTGAGTAGGAGTGAGAAAATCATTTTATCAGATGAAGGCAGGGTGGAGGAGGGAGACTTAAGGCAGGAGTACTGTGGTAAACTCCTGGTTGTACCATCAACTCTCTGTGTGACCTTAAGCAAGTCACTTGCCCATTATGGACTTTGGTTTCCTAAAGGTTCCTTCCAGCTAAGACATTCTATATCCTAGGGTCCCTCCTTGCCCTGACTTTTATGTCCAAAGGTCTACCAACCTTGACATTATGTCCTAATGCTCCTCCTAGCTCTGACATGCTACATGCGACTCAACTGGGCAAACAGTTGATTGACATTGATCACCAATATTATTCAATGTCCTCAGCTACTCAGGGCACCAGGAACTGATGCTTGTACCTATGCCCCCTATCTTTGCTAGTCCATGGGATGAAGGGGCACCCACAGCTGGGCCCCACTTATCATGGCTTCTCCCAACTCTCTCTTTTACTCTACCAGATGCTCAGAAAGGCAGAAAGTGGAAACATTTCTCATCAAGAGAACTCAGATTTGCTTCTGGGAAGATGAAGGAACACTGGTCTAGGGCCTGGAAGACCAGAGTTCTGAGGTTTAGACTCTATGATGTGAGTGACCGATAAGTTTGGGGACCTCCCTGGACCTCAGCTTTCTTTAGGGGTCGGGTGGAGCAATGCTTCCCAATCTTCTGGACACAGATCCCTGGAGGTGGAGAGTTGGGGAGAAGGAGGAGGGGAAAAGGAAGGGGTCTTAGAGTTATCTGTGACCCAAGGGGTCCTTGAATCAATATGCAAATGAGAATTATAATGCTGATCCTTATTTAGCTCCAACAAAATAAGCAGTCTGATTCAGCCTAATGAATCAAACAGAGGTACCTTTTGTAGATGAATATGTAATATGCCATATATACACATATGTACATACACACATATATTACTACTTTTAGTAATATGGTAATATTACTAGATTTACTTTTACACACACACACTCACACACACACACACACACACACACACACACACACACACAATTTTTCAAATGCAAGTGGCTACTAGCTTGTTTCTGTCCTCACCTCTGATTTGATTTCACGGGAGGAAGGAAACCTTCCCTCAGGTGATAACTTTGTAATCTACGGTCTTAGAACTAAAAGGTTAAATGAGTTAGCCAGGATCACCTCAACAATATGTGTAAAAGACAAAATGTGAACCCAGGATTTCCTGACTCCAAGGATCATAGTTTTAGTGTCAGAAGGGACCTTTGTGGTTATCTTATTTTGACCCCTTTATATTACAGATAAGGAAACTGAGGCTCAGAGAGATGAGGTGACTTGTTCAGAGTTATAAAGGTAGGAAGTAAGAAAGGAGGAATTCGAACCCAGGTCCTCTGCTTCTCCCTCTGCTACTACTGTGATAAAAAGATAGAAATTCACTTGTATTTGTTGCTGGATTTCAGAAGTCTGAAGTTAGAAAGGTGTCCTTATGCTTGAAAAGGGAAGGACTGGCTGCATGAGAGGCCCTCCATGGCCCCTTCCTGCTCGGCATCTACAATCTTGTAATAATAGGCAGCTTTTAGTTATCACTTGAAGGTTTGCAAAGCGCTTTTCATGTGTTATCTCATTTGGCAGTTCAGTTGAAAGTGGAGATGTCCTGGGAAACCTTGTGAGGCAAGTGCTCCTGTTATCCCAATTTTACAGATGTAGAAACCGAGGCTGAGAGAGGTTAAGGGATGTGCCCAGGGTCACACAGTTAGGAAGTATCAGAGACAGGATTCACATTCAGGTCTCCTGACCCCAGGTCCAACACCCTAGCCACTTGCCACCTAGCTATGAGCCTATGACCTCGAGCACTAAGGGCATATGAGCACAAAGAGGAATAGGGATAGGGCCAGGGCTCTCCTTGCTATTGCTGTCTCTGGGGAATGGGCCTGACCTGTATTTGCCCCATTTCAATAGCTGGATTATTATTCCTTCTCCTCTGCCTAGGAAATGGCCCGGGCTACTTCCTTCTCCATTGTGTCCCTTGGGTGTGGTGTCTGTCACCTTCTTGCCTCGTGAATCCCACTTCCATTTGCTGCAGCCTGGCATGCCTGGGCAGAGGTCAGAAACCCGTCCGCCATGACAGGGAAATCTATTCCCCATTGAGCAGACCAGAGAAAGTGCTTTACTTCTGGCTGCCCTCAACTCCAGGCAGGCTCTGGGCTTAATGGGCCCGATTATCTGATAAACTTCTAGCTTAATGGTTTAGATAACATGTAAATATGCTATGAAGGCTGTTCTAAAATGGTTTAACTGGGTCTTTGTCTTTCAGAGTGCAGATAAGATGGCAGCTTACCAATACTCAAATGTATGCTAATAGAGGCTGCCATCTCCCCTGGATCTGCTCCACTGAAAGTGGAGAAGCACAGGAAAATAGGAAGGAGATTTGTCCAATGAATCCCCTAGCAAGAGGGTCCCAGGAGAGAGGAAGAGAGAAGAAAGAGAGCCTCTCATGCCCCCAGTCTGAGTTTCCCTGGGTACTGATGCCACTGCCTTCTCACGGCTCCCTAGGACTCAGGGGATAATTGAATACCAACAACCTGTGCATTTATTAAGCATCTACCATATACACAGAACTGATCTCTCCCTA